AATAATTAAATTTTAAAGATTTTACGGTATACATTGATGTTATAACAATGACAACCCACATTATTATGATTTATACGTATTAATCTAAGGTCTGCTAATAACCAAACTATTTAAAAGTACCATCCTACATTTATTTTTAAAATAATATTAAATTATTTAAAACATTTAATCCCAGAAGATTCCTATAATACCTATCGCTACCTTGACGCTAACAACACGTATCTGTTATTATGCTACTTTTCAGGAGAACCAAAAAAAGTTTTAATTTCAAGTTTTTGTTTTAAGTATTATCCATGAGTATAATAGTATCATATAATGAAAGATAACATAAATACAATATTTTATTATATATTATAATAAATAACAAAGTTAAATCCAGACTTTTGGTTACATTTAAAACTTAAATGATAATAATAAATTAACAAGTCTTATATATAACTAAATAATTAAAATAATATATTCTTAGGTGTAATAATAATATTTTCACAGCTGTCATTTGTTTTTTCCCAGCTAGTCCGTGAGTTGATTCTTTTCTCCAGTTGTGCAACATCCATTCATTCATATTAAGTGTGTTTAAAAACATTTGTTTACATACTTCCACAGGAACTTCAAAATCTTGAAGTTTAAAATAATACGTTATATATTATAAGTTATAAGTATTTAATCTTCTGCTTAAATGGCCAAGACCAGTAGTATCTTTTTCGTTGGTATTTTGTTAACCATTGCTATTACAATTTTTTTTCTTCCCATGATGCATCCCCAGAATTTGTCAAAAATTTCTAATCTTCTGGTTTCATTAAAATACATGCAGAACTTGCATGTTTCTTTAATTCTTCTGGAAGGTCTTGTTTCATTCTCAACACTTACATTTTTACCGTCCCTTTTATACCCCAAATACTCTAGTCGATTTTTCTTGGTTATTTCTTTGTTCCATTTATTTTTATTTAAACTTAGTTTGATATTTTATTTTTCCACTTATCGTGTGATCTGCTTCAGTTTCTAAGTTCAAAATACAATTTATTTTTACTTCATTATTTTCATTCTACAAGTTGAATCCTTTGTTTCATTTATTATAACTTCACTGTTAATGTATAACAAGTTTGTAGAAGTATTGTTTAACAGTTCTTTATTGTCAACACCATTTTTCGAAAGATTGGATAAAGAGGCAGAAGTAATAACAGAAGATGATTCTATTGTAGGAATAGATAAATTATGATCAAAATTCGTACCTTCTTCCGGAAATTCAAATACAACTTCTGAATTTAAAATTATATCCTCCATAGTCAACAAAGGTAGATCTGATGTTGTAACTTGAAGATTTGTTAGAGATGTGTTAGAATCAACAGCCATATTGAAAATTGAATTAAGTCGTCGTCTTGACATAATGTTAACTAAGTAACTGCTAAATAAAATAATAATAATATATACGATAATAATGATGTATTTTTTTTTATATTTAGAAAATTTACTATCTGTATTACACAATACAATAGGTAAAATAGATGACTGACAAAATAATGATGTATAACACTAAATTATAAAAATTTACATTTTTTATAAAAAATATTGACTTTTGTATACAAAAGTAATAGAGAGTTTTGATTATAGAAAACCTAAAATATAAAACAAAACTTAAATTTTTAAAGGAAAATTATGACTTCACAAATTAGTAGCGCTAAAAACAATTAATTAAGAATGTAATTTGTACCTATTAATATAATTTTTATAAATTTACCTCATAAGAAGTAGTTACAATATACATTTTGTCGAAGACACAACCGCACACTTGTAAATATTGTGAATTACGTGTTTCCACTTGTGAATAACAGGTACGTGCTATAAGTCAAATCGCCTTGGAAGAAAAACAATTAATATCTTGGAAAAATTGATTTGATAATTAAATTGGCAATGAAATTATACAAATTTCGATGATCTTATTTTTTCAAAATTACAGATACGTGTTGTTAGCGTTAAGGTAGTGTTAAGGTAGCACTATTAAACATTTATACTAGAATAAGATATTATCTCAAATAAATTAATACAATTTAATATAATATTCAAATTAAAATACATAAGAGTTATTTGAACATATTTAATAAAAGTTTTTTTTATATTCAATTGAATTAGCTATTGATCAGCGGGCCAATCAAAATATTGCAAATGTGCATACACAGCCCACGAGCGAAAATATTTCTGAAGTTAATATTCGATGTTAGTGTGGACATGATAATTTACATCATCATGGCTTTTGTCGTTGTTGTATTAGACGTCTTAAGTATTATGGATGGAAAGAATTTCTCTAATCAGAACTTGAACAAAAAAACAAGTATTAAACTATAAAAAAAACATTTGACATTAATGTCACAAAGGTATTTTGCTACTAGTCACTCGTTAGCTTTCAGAAGTCGAAAGCAAGTGGTAATGCACATGGTACAAAGAACTTACCATTTGCAAACGTGATAAACCTTAATATTTTTTTATTTTTATTTTACCGGCCTTTAATTATTTTTATCCTTGAAATGTATACTGCAGCAATTACAAAATAAATACATTAAAACACAAAAGTTATAAATACGTTAACTTTTATAAGTATTCAATAACATGACTGGTTACGTTTGTAACTTAGAACAATTATAATACCTTCACAATCATCACGGAATGTTTCAAATCCAATCATAGGTAGGAACCTAATCGGTTCACAGTTCTACTGTACGCTAATATATGATCCCACCCATTTGTCCACTTCACTGAAATTTTTAAAGATACTAGATTGCAAATACAACCAGTTTAAAATGCTTTTTTCTAAGTGCATAAACATTACTAAATACATTATTTAATAATATATTTCATTCATTTAAATTTAATTTTTAATATTGAATAAGATTGTCATAATATATCACAGCGGATAATTTGACTTTATTTTTTCTATTTAAATTATAAGGGTTGATTACAACATTTGAGATTCTGACAGAAGCAATGAATGTATTAATTTTACTATGACGTATGTACTTTTTTAATTGTTGAATCTGTATGCACGATAAGTTGTCAAAATAAATTTTTCAACTTCGATACATTTTTGGTGGGAAAGTGAATCTTGTTAATACATTTTCAGATGTAAAATTAAAAAAATTGAAGTATCTAGTTTGCAATAATGTCAGGAAAAACTCTAAGATAATGTTATAAAAAACAGGGATTTTTACGGAAAACCTAATTACTGCAAATACTTTAAATTTTCACCAAGTCAACAATTTTTCACACATGCTAAAATTCGATCAATAATTGTTTGCTCGGTCAAAAAATTTGAAAATTTAGTATAAGGTTGTTAGTTGAAAGTCGTTAAATGTAATTTTAAAAAAAGTTGAGGGAAAACACAACAAGAATATATGAACACCTTAAGCTAGAATTTTGACACAAATCGTCAAAAATCACAAATATTTACAAATTCTGTTGAATGAGAAATTCATAAAAATGTCTCTATATTAATTCCTTAATATCTAAATTTTGAAAAAGTAAACTAAAGTTAAATTACATTTTTTTGAGAGTTTTTGACTGGTTCTCTTAGCATTCTTATGATAAGTAATACGTCCAATTTTTATAACTAAGGAAAGTTTTTCGTACTGTTACCAGAATATATAAAAACAGTTTTTAATAATAATTTTGTTGTAATTTAAAATTCCTAACTACTTAAATCTTTTAAAGTATATAATTAAATATATGACACAAATGACATTTTTAAATGCAAATTTTCGGTATAAATTAATTCAATCTACTCAGTGCCGCCTTAAGGAATGTGCAAAGATGCCCCAAGCCGGAGGTTTTCCAATGTTAGCGATGGAACTATCAAGTTTGGATTATGATAATGTTATAGAAGACTCCAAATGAATCAAAATGGTACTAAGAAAAATAAACTATTAAATAGTATTTAAACATTAAAAACGACAAATGTATATAAATACATGCTTTTTTTATACGTGTATTTCACTTTTGATTTACGAAATACATTTATTAACTATAAAAAGTATTTATTTTAAAATTAAAATAAACAATAAATTAACAGACACGAATACAAATTTGTTTTTTACTGATTGAGTATAATATTTTAAAGGTAATAATAATACGTCTTAAAAAATATATACATTATAATAATTTAAGTAATTATTTAAAGACTTAGAAATAGGTTAGGTTAGGTTAGGTTAGGTTAGGTTAAGGACACGTGTACATTGGCGAGTGGTGTGTCAGAAAAAAAATTGAATCGGCTTGTATATTAGGTTTAGGTACTAGCGGCTAGCACATATTCACATTTTGAAGAGCGTTACTCATGAAAATATACTATATTATCAGTTATTTTTTACTTACACACAACATCACTCATATCAAAAAGACAAGTCAAAATACACTTGACATTTTCATTTCCAAGTTGCAGACAAGTCTTTAGGATGATACACATCCGGAATATAAAAATAGCGAAAGGAATAAAAACCAATCGGAAGAAGTTGAAAAATTGTTGAATTGACTGATATTAATATGTATAAATATAAATATATATTATTTAATTAACTAATATTCGATTTCTTAAAATATGCANGTTAAAAGGTTATTTCTGATGCATTTTATCAAATGTGGGACATCAAAAATATGAACAATCTGGATAGTTTTTTGTTCATCCACTTGTATTTCATAAATATCATCTGTATATTTTTCATTGCGCTTAATAAAAAATCCTTTTGTCTCATTAATTAGAAGTTTTATAGCACTTTCATTAGAACGTCCTTGGTCAGAAATTGTCGCTACTATTTGTAAGCCGGTCTTGTGGACTTCTCTTACAACCTAAAAACAAATATATATCTTTATATTTATGTAGAAGTTAATACAATGTTGTATTAACTTCACGTGGGTTGAGGTTGATTAAATAAAAGCATTAACACAACAATGTCACGTAAAATAATTGTGTATTATAACTCTAACTTAACTTACTCTGTACAATCACAATCACGGTTCATTTCACACTGACTAACAACTTATGATAAGAGATATAATACCAAATAAGATACAGATAATCCCACATTTATGTATCGAATTTCATAATTAATTTTATTCTTACTTCTTTCAATAAACTTGCCAATTTTTCATGTTTTGTAGCACCTTGACAAAAAGTATATGCTACTGGTTGTTTAAATTTTTTTTTTATGCCACGGATCATAAACACCAGTGCATGATCAGCATACTCTTGATTTCTGTTAGATGCACTGTCAACAAACCCATCAATTTGATCTGTCGCTTTGTTGTAATGTAAACCACTGCTTAGACACACTTCATCGAACATCAATGAACAAAATCTATATGAATGTATAGTTTAATTATTTTATTATTTAAATGTTGATTTAAATGTAATTTTGGTTACCTTTCAAGTGGTTTCAACTTTTCAGATTTTTCTTTAAGCACTTTCATAACTATTGGACTGACTCCAGTAGTTATCGACACACTGCTTAAAACATTTTGTAATGTTTTAGGGCTTGGCAGAGTAAACATGATGGACAACATACGATAGCATTTTGGGCTCCGCTTATACAAAGATAAACTCATTATTTTTTCGTCTAAAGTGAATCTTCGACCTTTATTTTTTTTTTTGGTTTCTCTTAATTGCAATTTAGTAAATAACGAAGCGGCGGTTGTCATTTTCTCCGAAAAGTTATCATTAAGATACTTTTCAGACTTACGCTCTGCTGCCTTTAATTTCTGCTTAAATAATTGTTTTTTGGCTCCTTGTTTTTTAAGTTGCTTTATTAATTTGTTGGTAATACCATAAAATTTTCTGCAATTAGGCGTTAGTTGTTTGCAACGACTAAATCCTACTTTTTTTAACAGACCTAAAGTTAAAATTGATTACATTAGTTAAAGTTTATAGATGTAATATTATTACTTATTATTAAGGCAAGAAAGTTTTATAATAATGTAAAAAATTGGTAGGTACACTATTAAATTTCGTGCCCTAAATATTATACTAAACGAATAAGCAAAAATACCAGATTGATTATTTGCATTTTTTTGAGCAGCTTTACTAACTTTTGAGCTTCCAGCTACACTACTAGAACCTATTTTATAAGCAAAAAAAATAATCAAAGCATTAAAGCATCACATGCCAAGGCAGTGAATAGCCAATATTGGTGCAATAAATATAATAGTATAATAAAATAAATGAATAATTAAATAACAATAATACTTGCATACAACTCGAAACAAATAACTTACTCATGACATTATCCATAATTATTGTAGTTTCTGTATCAGTATTTTCCAAATTCAAAATTTCAACTCCAGATACATCAAGATTATCTAAAAAACCAAAAATACTCAATGTTATCATAATGCTATAACCAGTTGTGTGGTGAACAGTAATTTCAGAGGCAATAGCTGAGATTTTTCTTAAATAGAGGGGTTGGTGGTAACCGACGGGTCCCCTAGAAAATGTAATATGATATACTCAATAGGTAGTCAATACTGATCTGAAATATAATTAGTTATATTATATTAATACATTATTATGCATTAATACTTGGGATATTTGTAACTTGCCTTTGGAAAATTTTCAGTTCGCCACGCCACTGACTATATCATATGACATATAAATATATAATTTAAAATGATGTAGTATTACCTGAACTACAAAGCGATGGAGGATCAGCCACTTTAATACTTGAAACATTATCAACACCATTACAGGAGGTTTCCAAATTGAAATGTTGGTTAGTCGGTGTGCTGTGTTGTTGTAATGTCTGGTGCTCAGATGGAACATCATGTATAAAATATGTAACCTCACTACTAGACACTATAATAAAACATACATAATAAATAGTATATCAAAAGTGTGTTAGTAATATTATTTACTATTAAGGTATTTGTTATCTTGTTTAATATTAGCAATAAGTACCAAATAATTAATGAAATCTGAACTTTTACTGTTAAATAAGTTTACTCAATTTATTTTATAAATTGATTTACCATTTACCCAAAGTCAATTACCAAGATAAATAACTTACCAGGCATAAATAAGGTAGGATAAGCATTAGCATTAAGCCTCTTTGTACCAGGACTAAAACAGTCATCTGAAAAATGAGAGTGACAAATTCTTTTTTTGTTGTACACTATTTCTGGATTCATATTTGATAATCCAACTAGTCTTATCCAATCTAATAGCCGAGCTTTATGTAATCGAGGATTTGGAAACCGGTGTGTCATAATATCTATAATGTATTTACGACAATTACATAACACGCATAATTACATATGTATACCTACATTACAATAATAGAAAGGAAATAAAATGATAAATAAAATAACTTACACTTTTCTTTACATCCCTGCACTGAACACTGGTACTGATTTTTAGGCATTATTAATAAAAGTACGTAATTGTATATCGAACACTCAAATTTATAGAAAATAATAAAATTAATAATAACGCATAGACCAAGAACGAAATTATCAAAACTCGAAAACTGAAAAGTTAAAGTTTAAAACATTAAACAGTCAAAACTCAAAATGTCTTTGCGTTGACTTAATTCGATTTTCGACAGCGACCGCAACGCTGTGGCGGTTACTGGTTAGTTATTGTATGTGGCGTGCCCGGTGGTTGGTACAAGTAACTACTCTGTCCTATTGTAGCCGGAGAGTTACACCCCCCTGAGTATACTACTAGATAGGCAACCGCAATGTTATTATTCGGGACATTGAACACTGCGCTCCCGGTGGCTGGTGAATGAAACTTCGAACCCTTCTCTCCACCCACCCATAGCTCTAATCGCCGCCGCCGCGTATATAGATTGCCAACCCTGGGCGCTGGGCGCATTAACCACTGTTAATTATTATTTTAAATACTCAATTGAAATTAATCAAACAAACACCGAAAATAAATAGAATTAATTTTTATTACAATATACTAAAACAATATACAAAAACTACGAAATAATAAGAATAAATTATAATATTAAACATACATTTTATTTTTTAAATATACAAGTACAAAATTAGTTGGAACTTTTGTTACATTTCTCAGTCATATATTTAATACTTAAAAATTAACAATATAATAAAAATATATCTAGTCAATGGGAATATTGCCACATATTTCAAAATTAAAATTAACAAAGTGAATTAAATGAAATACACATACTAAATAATATAATATACAAATATAAATATATAAATATATAGTTATAGCCAGTGTTGAGTATTTGAGTAAAAGTATTCAAATACTTTTTTTCCGTATTGAATACAATATAATATTATATATTTATCATTTATGCCTTATACTTTATAATTATTTAATTATACAAAAATATTATTACTAATTATAGTATTTGGGTGGTATTTTAAATACTTTATTTTAAGGTATTTGAGTAATACTTAAATACTTTTAATTTTTTTTTATTTACAACACTGGTTAAAGCTAGGTATAATAAACATAATATTTCTTGTCAATGGGAATATTTACACATATTTACACATACAATTAATATTTACACTTTTTTCAAAATTAAAATTAACAAAGTGAATAATATAATAATCTAATAATAATATCTTAAGAGGACCTTTTTTTTTTTGAAAACAGTTTGTACCTTTCAAAAGCATTTATTTTAATTTTATCAGATTCATTTTTATTTAAATTTATTTTGCCAGATAAAATTCTATTTATTTGCGTACACCAATTATGTACCATTAATTTTACCACAAAATTGACGAATTTTTCTGGAATTATTAGTTTATGGTCAGGACATGTTATATATTTTAAATCTACTTTTTCTTCAATAATATTAATTAAATCTACTTTTAAAGTTTTATGATGGCATAAAGAAGGTAGATTATGTGAAATAATATTAATTACATTTTGCACCAACATACAAAAACTAGAATTTGGATATTTTAATAAATGCTTACCATTAGGCTGATAATCCCTAGCTTGAATAATTTGATGATCATTATTAATATTAGAACAAATTTCTTTCAAACATACATCATAATTTTTGAAGAAGATGGTATTCAATTTTTTTACAATGAATCCAGCAATATAATTTTTAGTTTGAGATTCTAACAATGTTAGGTCGGAAGTACAGCTAGGATTTTCTTCTTTGGGTAAATCAGCAACACGTTGTCTATCAAATTCTGGTTCATCAGTATCCAGCTTGTTATTAAATGTGGCAAACAATGTTTGATACGAAACCAAACAGGCTTCTGAAAAATCATCCTCACAATTGCTGCCGGGGGAATGTGTCGACATAATATTATTCAACAGCAAAGTTTTATAAGCTGATGAAAACATTTCACAGGTGGGATTATTATTGCGATACCCTAAAGCTCGCAAGGCACCAAAAAAGTTCTCCAATGAGTCTTGGTTAAAGTGTCTCAGAAGCAAAACTTGTATCCCTTTGTCACTCAACACTTGAAATATATTTTGGAAACCTAAAAAAAATTGTTAATTGTTTTAATATGCTACTTTGAAATAACATATTTTTAACTGCTTACTTTTTATTGTTTTAATCCAATTTTTCAAAGTTGGTGGCTGTGGAGTGGATGGCTTTCCAGTAGAAGGACTCAAAAAACGCATGGTACTCAAAATTTTTAAAGAATCTTTCCACAGTTGATGATGAGGAGAATTCTTTTTTAATCCTGCTCGATAAATTTTGCCATCTACTACTTTATCATAATTACTATTGACGGAGTCAAATAATTTGTCGAAAAAAAGACAAAATTTAGCTGTGTCACCTGCTGTTTCTCCGATAAGATTTTTTGCTAAAAAATAATTTAATAAAATAAATATTTAGTACTAGGTAAATAAATACATTTTCATTTTTCTTACATGCCAGAAATGCCATAATGGATGAAACTCTTTGACTCAATACTTGAGCAGCATTCCTTACTTTCATTTTTCTAATTTCATTAGGCACAACGTGTTCTTTAGTTAACCTGGGAAGCATTTTCACGTCTGGTATACCACTGTCCAATTCATAAAGGTTCATGATATCGCGCCAACTAGCTACTTTTTCACCGTCCATATCAAATGAAACATTTTTGGTTAGTAAGTTATTTCGAATTCCTTTTAGCAGGTGAGGTGGATCAAACAAATGAAAAATTTTGATTAATTCAGTGCTGTTGCCAAATTTGTATTCCACTTCATAGAAATCGCCATTGTATTCTTTATTATTTTTCCAGTAATATGCCTTTGTATCATTTATTAAGATGTTTATAGCAGCTGAGTTAGTTGCACCTTGGTCACATATCGTTGATATAACTTTAAGGCCGGTTGATTGAACAGCTTTGATAACTTCCCGTATTTGATGTGCCAAATCATGTCTGTTAGTCGTGCTTTTTCAAAAAGAGTAACATATGGGCTGTTTAAAATTTTTTACAATTTCTCTTACCATGAATACTAGGCTGTGATCAGCAAATTGTTGAGTACGACCTGAGCTATTTTCTTCAAAACCATATATTGTCCCCTCGTTACTATTGTACTGCAAACCAGCATTAAGACTTATTTCATCAAATAATATACTGCAAAATCTATATTTCGGTTTTAAATTTTTGACGTTTTCTTTAAGCACTTTCATTAATGTAGGGTCTATACCAGTGTTGATGGGTATAAATGCCAACATATTACTTAAAGTTTTTCTACATGGAAGTACAAACATCTTTGACAACAATCTATATGATTTAGGGCTTTGTTTGTACAACGATAAAGACATTAACTTTTCATTGAGGGTGAAACGTCGTCCTTTAGGTTTCATTTTTGTTTCACGAAATTGTAATTTTGTAAAAATGTGTGCTGCAGTAGTCATTTGTTGGGTTGTTTGGCAATGAAGGTGATTGCTAGCAGCTTTAAGTCTTTGCTTGAAAGTGTTACATTTTTTATGCTCGCGTCGTAATTGCTTCTGTAGAAGCAAAGCATTGGCATACAGTGATTTACACTTTGGTGTTAGCTTACTTGCTCGATTTATTCCCATTTTATGTAATATACCTAATATATAAATAAATTGTTAGTTGCTACATCAAATAATTAGATAATTAAGATTATAAGTCAAAGCTGGGCAAATTAATGATTTTTTTAAACTCAGTTAATTTAAGTTAATATTTTTGAAATGAAACGAAAGAGACTGAAATATTGGAATGTGATAAAATAAAAACAAAATAAATTAACTTACTTACTTTTAAAAATTAAAAATTCATACGTTAATATATTAAATAAGTAAATAGATAAGTTAATGAAAATTCAAAAGTAACTAGTTAAGTTAAACAGTTAAAATTAAATTTATTTTAACTTTTTAACTCGTTAATGCCCAGCCTTGGATAATGTAAATTAAATTAACCCTACAGCGCCTTAAGCAAAATACTAAGCAGTGAAGCTATAAAAATATGGTCAGCGCTTTAGAGTTAAACTTAAGCAATAATGTAGATAGAAAATAAAAATTATATTATTAACCAGAGCTTGGTGCTTTTGTTTTACTGCCAGCAATATTGGAATCAATAGCAGGTCTACTTTCATGCGCATCAACTATACATAATGAAGCATATTCAACATATTTTTAAGCAAATAATTCATAGATAACAGCTTTTAGAAAAAATTAGCACTTACAAATTAACTCATAAGAATGAGATTTACTGATGGCACTTGATGTATGGTCTAACCAAAAAAAAAAACAACAACATTTAAATAAGTACAAACTATTCTACAATTTTGCCTATTATTATAACACTTACCCAAAGTTTGTGTTTCTGATTCATCTAACAAACCTATGCCAGATAAATTGAAATCATCATAAGATACAGAAGGAGACTTCTCAATGTTTGGTGAAATGTTACAAGTGGCTAAACAATTTAAAAATTAAAACTATTTGTACATAATTGTTTTTATAGCATAAATGCATAATTAATTTTAAAAACTTACTTGTTGACTCAACAGTTAGGTCACACTGTTGACCATTTAAACTTGGTGAAACAACATTCACATCAGCTATTAACAAATAATATAACATATTAGTAAATAATACTGGAACATTAGTATAGAACATATTTATAACAAACTTGGAACTATTTCAAACATATTCAAATGCGGCAGGACATTGCGCTTCAAAGTTTTTTTACCAGGGCTTATGTCATCAACATTAAAATGCAATGAACATATGCGAAACTTCTCATAAATAACATGATGATCTATATTTTCAAACCGCTCTGATCCTAATACTATTATCCATTTTTGGAACATTTCCAAAAAGGTTCTAGGATTTGGGAATCGGTGAGAGCTAACTGCACCTAAAAAGTTTACATAAACAATTTTAAATCATATGTACCTATAGCTTTTTCTTTAAAAATTAAGTAACAATAAAACCAAACTAAAGGAATGATATGTATTAAAAAAAAACTAAAATACATATGGAAAATCCATTACACAATATTAATATTATGTCGTTGTATTAGTTTTATATAATCCACAAATTGCGGCCAATGACCCTTGTATGTAAAATAATAAAAAAAAAGTCGTTGTGATTACTTTGTTGATAAATTTCACTATCAGAATATTAGTTGTTATATTTAAAGTTCAACCGTTATACTAAATAATTAATACAACCCTTTTAAAGCATAATGATTCTTTATTATAATTCACAACTGTTACCTATGCTCTTATATCGTAGCATGCCATAGACATAATCCTTAAGATCTACTACAATCATGTAATTCTGTTATCATATAACTGTGTGTCATTGTGACCAACATTACAACTCAAACACTACAGTTCCTCCTCACTAAATAAAAAAAATACAAATAGACCTATTTATAAAAATATTTAAACAAGTATACAATACATTTTTTTTTTTTAAATTATAAATGATACAGAACATATATATATATAAATATAATGTAATTACAAACACACCATTGGAATACATTTTTTTTTTTTAATTAATTACTACAAAGACATATTTATCTTACATAGGTATACATATAGAAAGTAAAATAATAATTATAAATCTAAACGATTAGGTGCTTTAATTACTCTGCCACTCTTCCTAACCAAATTCTCACATCCTATATTATCATCATTCTCATCTTGTTCATGTAAGACCTCCTCACTACCAATAGTTCTCTCCTCAATAGATTTTTCTGCCTTATCATCCTCCTCACTATACGGTAACTGATTTAATAATACTGTTTGTTCTATTTGACCACTAGGATTCTTACACTGCCTGTCAATTATTTGATTTAGATGTCTCTTCACAACATTATTATCTAAAGTTTTAATTAAGTAAGTTACCGGTGATAATTTTTTCCACACATTACCCGGTATCCACTTATTCCCTGGGCTATAATTCTTACACATTATGCTATCTCCAACTTCATAACTCTTAACTCTACCCCCTCTATAATTCTTTTTAGCATTTTCCAAACTTTTATTATATTTATGTTTAGCAAAAGGTACTAATCTATCAAGTGATGTATTTAAAGGCCTGCCTAAATGCAACTCCGCTGGGCTACTCCAGTCGCACAATGTTTAGTACTATTATATGATAAAACAAAATTACAAATATTAGTATCCATGTCAGTATTTTTAGCACATTTCTTTAAGAATTGTTTAAAAGTTTTAACTGTATTCTCCGCTGCCCCATTCGAAGAAAGGTTGTATGGTGGGGTTCTAATATGAAATACACCATTTTTGCTAAGGAATTCACTCATCTCGGTAGAACATAGAGAAGATCCATTGTCTGTAACCAATTTTTCAGGAATGCCCCATAACGAAAAATACTCCTTTAATATTTTAATAGTCATTGCAGTAGTGATATTAGGCATATATCTCACAAAAACCCATTTCGAATAAGCATCAATTAAAATAACAAACATCCTGCCATCTACTGGTCCCAAAAAGTCTAAGTGTACCCGTTTTGAAAGGCCCTCAGGCCAAGGCNTACAAACAGTTGAAGATGGATATGAAGATCAATATGCAGTTATTGATCCTGCTATATCACTGCAACAACTCGAACAGCAATCAGATATTAATGTTTATGGTATATAAAATATTATTTTAAATTATTTAAATTTGGTTTCTTCATACATTAATATTGTTTTAATATATAGACCAAGTACACCTGCAATACCACCATATATCACAGTAAGACCGGCTGTTGAACAAAGACTACATCTCAATAACCTACCATATTATACAAACAATTAAATGAAATGGTCGAAAAAACCGTTTGTCAGTAATTTCTTAAATATTTCACATTCAGCTCCAAGACTATCAACTACTTATATGACTATCACCAGTAGAATATTTCAGTAAATACTTTCCTGAGGCAGAGTTTGAAAACATGGCCAAGTTCACAAATATTTATGTCAAACAAAATAATTTTATTAAGTATGTAGATACTACACACCTTCGGAGATGAAAGTTTTTGCGGGTATACATTTGAAGATTGATTGTCTCAAACATACTAGAATAAGATTATATTGAACTAATGAGGGTAGAGTGAATTTAATTGTTGATAATATGTCTCGAAATCGGTTTTTTCAGTTAGTCTTCCTTCCATGTAATGAATTATTAATGACATTTCTGAAAACAATGTGGATAAATTTATTAACGTTAGACCTCTTTATAATTCTTTTTTAAATCGTTGTAAGGAATTGCCAGTAGAAACTTATCTAGCTACAGATGAGCAAATGGTTAAATTTAAAGGGAAACTAAGTGTCAAACAGTATATGAAAGGCTAACCCTGGTATTGGCAATTTTTTACTCTGCTCATATAATGGAATGGTTAACAATTTAATTTTATATCAGGGTAGTTCAACTGAAATTAATCATGCGATGCAAAAAAAAATATGGCCTTGTTGGTTCTATAGTATTACAATTAGTTGAAAATTTAAACAGAAATGAACATTATTTATTTTTTGAGTCTTACAAACTATTTACAACACTTGATTTTTGGAAATTAAAGCAGATGGGATAATTAGAATAAATATTTTTGCTAATCCTCCAGTTATAAGTGATAAAGACCTTAATAAATAAGGAAGGGGAGCCTCATATGAAGTCTGCTCAATAGATGAAAAAGTTTGTCTAATTAAATGGTTGGATAGTAAATCTGTTATCCTCGCATCTAACTTTGTGCGGTTTAGGACGTTTTTGCGCTATCCATTTTGGCGCTGCCGTTTTGGCGCCAACTAACCTAATAGAATTTATATCAAAAATATATAGTAAAAATAAAGTTTTAAAACATTATTACAAGATAATATAATCAAAATATAAATATATAGTAAAAATAAATAGTTTTAAAACATTATTACAAGGTAATTAGTCAAAATATAAATATATAGTCAAAGCATAAATATAAATATATAGTAAAAATAAATAATTTATTTTTATCATCATATATAGCTGATAACTCGCGACCTTTCTTTTCTGATCGACGTTGTAGATTCTATGCAATATATGATCTAATGGTTTTGCCTGTGAACAGCATGATTTGCTTTTATCGTTTTTCTTTATTACAGTCACAATAGATAACGTGCGATCTTTATTGTCGATTGACATTTTTTCGTCTTGGATTATATGCCAATCATTTATATTTATAAATTTTTAAGTACATTTTTATAGCTAACTATTTACTATATTTTCATTTCAAATAAATTGTAATATTTAACAAAATTGTAATTTTAAATATTATATAGAAATATTAGCTGGCGCCCAAACGGCGGCGCCAAAACGTCCGTGTCCGAACTTTGTGACATAGCGTAGTCATCAAGCGCAGTAAGTAGTTGCTGTCATACCATGTTATTTAACCATGGGTACACCCATGATTGAAACAAGGTTATTGCATATATACCTCCTCTTAATCAAATATTCGATGATAAAAACTAAAATGGCATCGTAAAGGGAGCCAATAATGATCAATTTTTATGCGAGCGTATTTTTCATGATAAAAAAAATTGATATTTGTAATTTGTGATATCCCTTTAC